CCATAACGCTGTCCTGGATTCTGGTCCTTGTCTTCAATGAAGTGGTCTTGCTTAGTGTCCTTGTTTGAGAGCAGAGAGCCAAGTGCGAGTCTGTTCATTTCACGCCTCTCGGCTCTTATTTCTAGAGTTTTGTGAAAGGCACATGGGAGCCGTGCGGGCAGAGGTTTGTGGTGGCGCATCTGGGTAGCACAAGAGTGCCATTCGCTTGCAAGCCCTTATGTATCAATAATAACAGCAACCCGTTAAAATGCTCAGGAAGGGCTGTGAGTTGCAAAACGGGAAGCTTGAGATAAACCTGTCGTTTAAATCTGCTTCTCTTTTTTCTTGGTGATTCGAAATCTCTGCTTTTGATTGCCTTGTTTCAGATCAATGTTGTGTGCACATTCACACATGCACAAACAGTTGGCCTGGTCCTGTTTGCTGTCTGGCCTGCCAGACCGTGAGCGCCCTCCTGCTGCCTCCCTATATAGAGCCTGGCTGCCTGTCTCTCTCTTCCCCGCCTGCCTGCCCATCCTCTCCTCCTCTTCTTCTTCTTCCTCCTCTCCTGTTCTCTCCATCCATCAACCCCAATCCCCGGTGCCTCCTTGACGGCTCCATTAAGTACCAGCTCAGCAGCGGCTAAATTTAGAAGTCGGGAAGAGAATGAGCCTTCTGGCTGCGGACAGCCCATAAATCCAGCTTCCGTCACGAAGTCACGCCGCTTCTATTCTCTTATCTGGAATGAGATCGATAGGAGCGTGCGTGTTTTTTCAAAGGAGAACCAAGTGCCCGGAGGCGAGAGGCAGGGAAGAGGGGCAGGAGGCAGAGCAGTGGAAGGAGAGGCAGGGAGCTTAACCTGGAAGGGGAGGGCAAAGAAAGGGGAGGCAAAACTCAGCCCCAGCCCCTGCTCTCCTTCCTGCAGCGCTGCTGCCAACCCCTGCCAGAATCAGGCCCTCTGCCACCTCACCCGCTTCACAGTTCCTTGATGGACATTGTGTGGCACTAGCTGTTAGTATTGAATAATGTCCCCATTGGAGAGGCTAGCAAGGACTGGTCACTAAGGGCAGGTTGAAAGTATGGAGAATTCCTATTCTTTGGCGATCCCTCGTAGCCGAGTAAGATTGCCTTCCATAAACACGGTTTTAACAAGTGAGTAAGTGACTGTGGAGGGACGCAGGTGGCGCTGTGGGTAAAACCTCAGTGCCTCGCACTTGCTGATCATATGGTCGGCGGTTCGAATCCCCACGGCGGGGTGAGCTCCCATCGTTCGGTCCCAGCTCCTGCCCACCTAGCAGTTCGAAAGCACCCTTAAGTGCAAGTAGATAAATAGGTACCGCTTTATAGCGGGAAGGTAAACGGCGTTTCCGTGTGCTGCGCTGGTGCTGGCTCGCCAGCTGCAGCTTCGTCACGCTGGCCATGTGACCCGGAAGTGTCTTCGGACGGCGCCGGCTCACGGCCTCTAGAGCGAGCTGAGCACGCAACCCTAGAGTCGGACACGACTGGCCCGTACGGGCAGGGGTACCTTTACCTTTAAGTGGCTGCGGAGGCCAATTCAGGATCCACACATCCTTCCACAGTGGGGTTATAGGTTTCCGGGCGGGAGTTGATCATGGTGTGGATTTGCCAAGCGTGCCTTCCTCTTAGCATGTTTCTCCATTGTGTCCTGAGTTCGAGTGTCTTCAAAGCCCATGACACCTTTGGTAAAGGCTGTTCTCCAACTGGAGTGCTCACAGGCCAGTGTTTCGCAGTTGTCAGTATTTATACTCCTTTTTTTTAGATTTGCCTTGAGACAGTCTTTAAACCTCTTTTGTTGACCACCAGCATTACGCTTTCCATTTTTAAGTTCGGATTAGAGCAGTTGCTTTGGAAGACGATCATCAGGCATCCGCCCAACATGATCAGTCCAAAGAAGTTGGTGTTGAAGAATCAACATAATTAAATCAACATAATATAATTGAGAATTATAATGAAAACTACACACACACACTGTCAGCGGCACTTCCCAGCCAAAGGAATACAAACGGCAGAAAGTTATCTCTTTATTATCTAAACCAGACACTTCAAATACCCCCCCACCACACACATGCCGGACTAGCATCTAGGCAGCTATTCCTTGGACTGTGGAGCAGTTACAGCAACTGGGGACCACTCCCCCCCCCATCAGTACACCTACCTTCCCCAAAGGGCATGCATGCAGCCAGAGACTGTGCCTAGGTGGAAACTTACTCTGCTCCCCACCTTTCACACACCTCCTGGTTCTGGGAGATGGTGGGGAAGTACCTGACCCTTCGCTTTCCTCCCCTGCCTCTTCCTCCTCTTCTTTGAACCCATCCTGCGCTCCACCCTCCAACTCTGAAGTTTCCTCTGACTCTGCCTCTCGCCTTCTGGCCAGTACAGGTCCCCCCAAATCACTGCGCCCCTCTCCCCAGTCATACCCCAGCCCAGTTCCCCCAGTGTCCTGCCGCTCCCTGGCACTGGGTGGGTGGGAGGAGGGTGTAAGTTAGGGTGAAGGTGGAGAACCTGCACAGATCCTGCCCCTAAGAGTGAGAAGTGCTGGAGAAGGCATTCTGTTCTACCCTCCCTGACGCTTGACATATTCCTGGTGCTTCTTCATTCTCAAGTACCAGAATCATAAAGTTGACTTTTTGTGACGCTCCAAGGGAGAGTTTGGATGCCGGTCTGCATGGAAAACTGGCAGAAAGAAGCAGCTGTGACCTTGCCATGGACTCTGTGAGGTGCACAGTTTTAGATAAAGGATTCAGCCCTGCAGGAAATCCTTGCGGAAAGCAGGCTAGAAGTCACCAGCGACCAGCAATTCCAAGCCCTCTGGACTGGTTGAACAGCTCAAAGCCTGTGCAAGGGGGGAGGGGTGGAGGAGAGCTACATAAACCTGTGGGGGGGGTGTCCCCTGTTGCTGCAACTGCTCCCTAGAGCCCCAATCTAGGAATTGCTGCCTAGACGCTGGTGGGCACAAGCAGCTGTAGAAGCAACTGTGTTACCTTTGACAAGAAAGAGTTGCCCACCTGCCGTGCGCAATAGTGCCCTTGAGACCTCTTTGCAAAAAGGAAGAGGTCCCAGTCTTGCAAAAGGCTCAACTGACCAGGCTCGGAATAAAGCCTTGCTGACTGAGGCTGCTATTTGCGCAGCGCTTCCTGTCTGCCTGCAGAGAAATCAGAATTGTGCAAATTGCAGGCAGGCCGAACTTCACAGCCACTCGAGTTGGCTTTGCAGGAGCCTTGCAGAACGTTCTGCAGGTCCAGCACCTTGTCAGGATTCTCAGGAGCAAGAGGCTCCCCCCACGGCGACCCTTGAGCTCCCTCTACCGGCTTCTCTTTGCAGGAAGATCCCTTGCAGTGGCGACACCCGGAGTGTGTCATCTGGCTCGCTGCAAGATGCCACGACAGAGCAGCTGTTTCCAGCAACCTCTGCCCCCGCCCCACAAGCCGCAACAGAGAAAGCCAAAGGGGCAGGTGGGAGCGGGAGGCCAAAGGCCAGCATTTGACCGGTGGAGGGCAGCGTAATAATCTGACAGGCAAATGCGGCCAGGACCCTTGAGCCTGGAAGGCTGATGGGATATTCAACCTCTGTGCCACAAGGGAGCAGGGGAATTCTGGGAAACCACAGAGCCCAGCAGGCCAAGCTCAGCTTTTCAGGGGCTTCGATGCAGGCGGGAAGCAGATGAACTCCTGTGCTGACCCCTTCTTTGCTTTGCAAAAGAGGTCAAAGCACCCCAGTACAGTGGTGCCCCGCAAGACGAATGCCTCGCAAGACGAAAAACCCGCTAGACGAAAGGGTTTTCCGTTTTTCGATGCGCTTCGCAAGACGAATTTCCCTATGGGCTTGCTTTGCAAGACGAAAACGTCTTGCGAGTCTTGCGATTTTTTTCGCTCCCCCCCCCCTTTTCTAAGCCGCTAAGCCGCTAATAGCCTTTTAGCCGCTAAGCCTTTAATAGCCGCTAAACCGCTAATAGCGCTAATCCGCTAATAGGGTTGCTTCGCAAGACGAAAAAACCGCTAGACGAAGAGACTCGCGGAACGGATTATTTTCATCTTGCGAGGCACCACTGTAGATGGTTCCTCTTCCAGGCTTTCCCCAGTTGGCTCTCAGGGCTGCTAAATGTGATGGTGTGTCTGTCTCTCTGTGTGTGTGTAAATGGAGGGACCCCATCCATTTGTGTAGCCCGGTCTCTCTCTCTCTCTCTCTCTCTCTCTCTTAAATAGTTTTTATTAAGAATTTCAACATAACAAATTATCAAAACATATCATCTTCTTTTCATTCCCCCCCATTTCCCCCCTCCCTCACCCCAAAAACCTCTTACCCTCAAGGTTTAGTCAGAATCCCCTTTCTTGTAACTTGAAGCCATGGGTTCGAGTCCTACCCTCCAGAGCAGGAGAAAACGAGCGTGCTCCATCTTCCATGGGGCAGCCCTTGAGATATTTGAAGATCACAAGTCCTCTCAAGTCTCCTCTTTTCCAGGCTAACCATACCCAGCTCCCTCAATCATTCCTTATAATGCTTTGGTTTCCAGGCCCTTTGTTGTATTATAATTCTATGTGGTCAACAAAGGGCTTTTTAAAAACAACACTTACGGCTCTTACTACAAATGGTGGTTTGCATTTATTTCGCAGTTTGTAGGAAACCCTGACAATCGCGAATCACACATTTTTAAACAACATCACACATAAAACGTAAAACACCTTGGGCATGCATGTGTGTTTGCATACCCCTGATACCTATGTTTCATTGTTTGTGGCGCTCCAGAAAATGCACATGAGGCCAGGAAGTCAGCTGATTGGGTCGTCCCCCCCCAGCGACCATTTACTCCTGCAGAGTAAATGAAGCCTCAGAGAAAGGTTGTTGCTGTCTTTAGCATATGCACCACCGGGGTGGAAAGATCCACCCAGCGCCCCCAAATTAACTTTTATTATGCTTATGTCAGACACCACGCTTACACCTTATCTCTTATTTTCAAAAGAAGGGAGGAAAAAGAAACAAACTTTTTTATTTGCTCATTCATTTACATATACATATATACATATACATATACATATACATATATATATACTTATATATATATATGTGTGTGTATATATATATATATTCTGTACACACACACACACATAAATATATATATTTTTAACATATCATTTTCAACAATTGTTAAACATACTTTTATATCTTATACAATTTTTTTGACTTCCTCAATCACATCTGAAAATTTCCCAATCTTTTTCACTTAATTTACATTTCTTACTTTCACTATTACATTTAAATATCATAACTAACGTCTCTCTTCTTTCTTTGCAATATTTCATATATTCCTCCTTACAAAACTTCTTGTAGTCCTACTAGCGTAATTTGTTGATTACAGTTGCTCTTCAAATAGTTCGCGTATTTCTTCCGATCTTCTGTAAATCTCTGGTCCCGCCGCTTTCAAATCCTTCCTGTCATTTTATCCGGTTCTGCGTAGTCCATTAATTTCGTCTGCCATTCTTCTTTCGTCGGAATTTCTTCTTGCTTCCATTTCTGGGCCAACAATACTCTTGCCGCTGTTGTTGCATATAAAAACAACTTAACATTCTGTCTATTAATGTCCTCACTTACCTGTATAATACCAAGTAAAAATGCTTCTGGTTTTTTAAAAAATGTATATTCATTCATTTACAATACACTTATACTTAAGTATACAACACCACCACACTTAAGTATCATTTAAGCACCTACTTAGGAGAAACATCAGTCGTGTCAAAGGTGCCGCTGCCCCCGCTGCCGCATAGCAGCTCAATACAATATGTAACAAAATATTTTGATTTAAGAGTTTATTTCGTGTGCACGGCGCCGTTGTGAATGACAAGTGCCGTCGTTGAGTCTGAAGTGCCGCCGTTTTGAATGACAAGCGCCGCTGCTGGTGTGGCGCATCTTTGGTAAATGAGTGCACAAGGTCGAAAGTCCTTTAGTGAAACAGTAGGTATACATTTCGGTAATACCTAGGTATATATGTATTTTGTTTTTCTAGTGTGATCAAAATTATTTATTATTTCATAACAGGTAGATAGTTAAGAGCTTAGGCAGTTTCAGCGGTGGGCGGCGGGCGCCCCCCAGAATTCAGCACCCGGGTGCCCCACACCCCTTGCACCCCCGGGTAAAGATGGCCCTGGCTGCTGCCCTCAGCATCACCGCTGCTGCTAAGTTGTGCTGGAACAGGCACCATGGTCCTTCTTGGTCCAGGCTTGCCTTCCCCCACTCTGCAGCCTTTGGCTTGGAAAAGGTCACGTGCCAGGAAAACGAAAGAAAATGTGATTGTGCCAAAATAGCCAGTCTTCCCCGTGCCGGATGCAGAAAGTAAAGCCGTCCAGCCAACCGGCACTCTCTGTCGTCAATTCCTTGGCTCTCAGGGTCAGCTTCCTCCAGGGTCGCAGCAGCGAAGTCAAGCAAGAGATTCGCCAAGCACGGAAGGAAGAGGATCTGCGTGGAAGGCTTGGCCCTGCCCGACCCGCCGCTCCCCACCAGGAGGTCCTTCTCAGGACCAGGTAAACGGTCCGGGCCTTTGAGGCACAAGGGAGCAGAGCTGCATGGCCGGGGTCAAGGGCCGCACGGACGTCCCTTGAGTGCTCCTCTCACAAAGCACAGGGGAGGGCACCACGTCCGACACCTGTCCCCACAGCCTTCTGCACTCAGTAGCGTCTCTGGACTGCACGTTTGCAACCTCGGAAATCGGCCTTGCTGCTTCGGCTAATTTCACCGTTTCCCCTGGGATCTGGTCCACCGGATCTCGACCTGCACAGCACCCCACACCCTCTCCCCAAAGCACTTGGGCACTCAGCGTACTTCGGATGGGGTTTTGCTCCTGCATGCGACCTGGGCTCATTGAGGGAGGCCGGATTGCCTGTTGCACACCATGTATGAATGCACCACCGAGAGCGACAAAGACCGCAGCAGCATTGAGGGAAATACGGCGGCTAAAGAAATCTCCCAGTGGCATAGAAAGGGGCCTGGCCCCTCAGCCAGCTAGAGTTATGCATGCAAGGAAAAGCCAAGTATCTGGGTGATTTGGCTAGGCACTAGGACCCTGGTAAGGTCCTGCATTTTCCCGAGGGGTCCAGCAATTGCCGTTTCCTCTGTGATACCACAAGTGTTATAATAATAATAATAATTTGTTATTTATACCCCGCCCACCTGGCTGGGTTTCCCCAGCCTCTCTGGGAGGCTTCCAACCAAATATTAAAAACAATACAGCATCAGACATTAAAAACTTCCCTAAACAGGGCCGCCTTCATTTGCCTTTTAAAAGTAAAATAGTTGTTTATTGCCTTGATATCTGCTGGGAGGGCGTTCCACAGGGCGGGTGCCACCACCGAGAAGGCCCTCTGCCTGGTCCCCTGTAACCTCACTTCTTGCAGCAAGGGAACCACCAGAAGGCCCTTGGCGCTGGACCTCAGTGTCCGGGCAGAACTATGGGGGTGGAGATGCTGCTTCAGGTATACAGTAGTTCAGTAGGTAAGCCACGACTACATACCCCATGAGCAGAAATAGTTTGCAAACCCCCTCCAGGCCACAAAATATTTCTGCACGCAGAGCTGTGGAATATGGGCCTCCTGCTACGTTTTTTGCTAGCATGGAGGGGAAAGGGGAAAAGCATGTACAATTCAGCTACATATTACGTACACTTAACTTGGGCGATTTCAACCTTGCGTGGTTGAAGGCCAGCCTGTTGAAATTGCAGAAATTAAAGGCATGCTCAGTGCAGAAAGAGCTTTTAAGCTTTCTGCCTTGCTTACTGGGCTTCGAAAGAGTAAGGATGGTCACAAGGTGGAAGTTTTTGAGTATATGCGTTTTTTGAGTCTGCACAGAACTCATGGAACCAAGCCCCCCATATGAGATGCAATTGTGGTAGGTTTCATCCTCTCTTGGCGAGGTGTGGAAGGAAGCTGTCGCTCCTTGAAGCTGGAGGCGGCGATGCCCCTCCCCTTCTGCCCCAATGTCTTTTGTGCCCACCAAGCCTGGGCAGCTTTGAGCAGCAACCTGGCACATTCCTGCCCTTCCACTTGGCCACAGCTGCAGATACCTTCTCAGAACCGGCTGCCGTCTAACCTCACCTGCCCTCCCCTGCCTGGCTGGCGCTGACCTCCATTTGGAACATCTGTTTGCTCAAAGGGCCGCTTATTATCGGAGATGCGGAGATGAGAGACCTGAGGGTAAGCAGGTTAAACACTTTAGAAGCAGTAGCCCAGGTGCTTTCTCCAGAGTAGGGGAAGTGCCCCACCTGCTGGTGGCGAGGGAGAATGGCACTTTCTCCGCTTGCAGTCTGGGGCCGGTCACTTTTGCCGGAGTTGCGTTTAGACTTTGCCAGGAAAGCTCTTGGCCTCAGAAACGCCACCCCAAAGGACTTTTGAGTCTGATGCTCCACAATGCCCCCATTTCTCCGTGGCACAGAGGGCGAGGGCTGGAGCCATATTGTGCTTCGTCAACCGTTTCTCACAAGCTGAACTGCTCTCCTTCAAAAATGGCTCCTTCCCACGGAGCAAGCGGCCTGGATGCCATGGGCGAGTTCTGGGAGAAGGAAATGGGGATCTAGCAGGCTTCCATGTTGTGGCTTCAGAAACGGCCTCTTCCTGCCTGCCTGGACTCTGCATCGGTCAACAGCATCCTTCTTCCAGGAGCAGAAGAGGCCACCTCGCATCAGCCAAGTGAGGGATGAGAAGCAGCTCCCAAAACGAGATCGCTGAAGTCGGCCATGAATCCTCTCTCCTCCTCCTCACTTCTCCCAAACACCTGCTCCTTCCTGCCTTTCGATGATGATCCGAGCCACCCCTTTGCTTGAGACACCGGACAGCTGGCCTGCCAGAGAGGAAACTTAAGAGGCTTTTCTCACCGGTCCTTGATCCATCTTAGCTTCAGGACGGTCAAGAGATGAAAAGGTAAAGCTTTTGGAGAGTGTCGAGGAGTCAAGGGGCTGTTGCTGAGGTCCTGCTCCAGGTCAACTCTCCTGTTCCATGTCTGCAGGCTACACATCAAAGACATCAACTTCCAGAGACTCGGTTGCAGCCTTTCTCAAGCTCCAGCTCATGGCTTGTGGGACTCCACTTCTTAGGGGTCCTGAGCGTTCTTCCAGCATTCCTGGTCCAGGCCAGACTCGCTTCCTTCCTTGGAGGGCACACACCATGCCCACTGAGGTCAGCCACGCAGACAGATCCCTCTGGCTTAGCCTGGTGGCAGAACTTGGTGTCGCTTTCCTCAGGGAATCAACCTTCCAGGCGGCCCACCGATACTAACCATTTACTTATTTCTTTGCAGGGTTTATAAACCCATCCTTCCGAATTACCATGGCATTGTGCAGGGGGGGAATAAAAAGCAAAATGCAATGCAAAACAATACATTAAGCCCCCATGTAAAACCAACAGGTGCAACATCAAAGAGTTTTGAGATTAAAAGTAGAAATTGTTGGTGCAAACCTAATATTCAGTTTGCCAATGACCCCTATCCCTTCCCTGCCTTTTTTTCTTCTTGCCTCATAGCTACCCTGGCACCATTGTGGTAGCAGCAGCCATCATGCTGGTTTAAAGGCCAGTTATAGTCCATGTGGATCTCTCTGGATGTGATCTCAATTTGGCCCCCTTTTGGCCAGATGGCAACATGCATCCCAGTAGTAGAAGCATGGGAGTTGGGTGCCCAAGGAAGTGGCCTCTCCAGACACATCTCCCCACCTGTCCCTAGAATCTCCAGATGGACCTTCATAAACACCAAGAGCTTGGGATGAGCACATCCCATGGGAGGTGAAGGTAGGGAAGGGGTTGAAAGGTGCTTCCCGACTTTCAACGTCTCTGAGAAACATTTGCTCTTTCCTTCCAGAAACCCGAGAAGACAGGACCAAGAGGCTCTTCCGACACTACACTGTGGGCTCGTACGACAACTTCACTTCTCACAGGTAAGGACCCTCCTGGCATATATTGGCTGCCCCACAGCTAGGATTTCCACGACAGGGAAAGGGAGGTCTGTGGGGCAATTGTGGGCTGGCAGAGCAGGTTTACTCCCGCAATGGTGGCAGGTGTGTGTGTGTCTGTGTGGAGCCTCGTGTGAATCTTGTTTCTGAGTTGGCAAT